TTCTAGTTCCAATTTTAACTTTATTGTTAAATTTGAGTGGGCGACCAAGAATAAATACGATGAATTCTACTTATTAGATTTAAATACAGAACAAGATCTTTATTATGCGCTCGAATATGATGATTTTTATATAGTAGACAAAAGTGGAAATGATGACTTTGAAGAATTAACACCCATACCACATTTCAAGAAGCAACCTATCAAAGAAGGTGCGCTATTATTTAATTTCTCAAAGTATTCAAAGGATTCAAAGAATCCAAAGGATTCAAAGGATTCAAAGAATCCAAAGGATTCAAAGGATTCAAAGGATTCAAAGGATTCAAAGGATTCAAAGGATTTAAAGTATAATATTAGAAACAAGATACAACGGAAAAAAAGTGGAAAAACTTTGTATAGTTTCTTGATGGAGCTTGGAGAAGAACATAGCGCACACTCTGGTTTGACAATTATAAACGCGCTTAATTATATTATAAGAGCCTGCAATGTAAAAAAGATATTCAAATCCCTTTCATATGAATGCTTGCTTCATCAAGCTAAATTAGACTCTGAAGTTGAATGGGAAATCACCAAGAATAATCTAATTTATATAAAACATGCCATTATAAGACTACACGAATCAGAGCTTCCAAAACTTCGTTCTTGTTCACCTTTTTACAAACATGCTACAGCCATGCAAGTTGATATCAAAAATGCGCAACTTGATAATCTGCAATTAGAAATTAAAATAGACTTGGATAATAATGGATCAAAAAGTAGCTGGGTATGGACTCCAGAGATTTCAGATATATATCAAACAAAATCTGTTTATGACTATCTGTTAAATGCAAATATCTCACAAAAAAGGTGGAAAGATATTACTCTTAGTTATTTAAGTTTATTAATAATGCCTCCATTGATGGTAACACCGGAATTTTTAAAATTCCCATTACCATTCTTATCGGGCACTTCATTATTAGATCAAACAATTAATAAAGAAATTTCGCATATCAATTTCGAAATTGGTCCTACTGGTGCTAGATTAATTCAAGTAGATCTCTTTTTGGATACATCAACAACAAAAAATAAGTTTCAACTTGACAGTATCGAAATTTCACAATTGACTGATATTAAAGTCACGATTATTAACTCGGATGCTGTTAATGGTGACCCTAATATAACCATCGAGGCTCGTGCAAATATTAGAGATAATGAAGTAAAGATATTAACTCAAAATGAAAATGAACAATTTTTAGCAGTGAAATTTCACGATAATACGACCCTCGCTAATATTGCGCTGGCTTTAAATAACTCCGAAAATGTATACAATAAACTTGTCCCTTTATATGACATGTTACTAGATGATTTTTTAAAAGACATTAATCCGGAATTTAATCTATTATTTTATCCAGTAACTGACCCTCCCACGATGAATTTTAGTCTTAAAAATATTAGCATTTTTGCGAATAATTTCCCTAGCATGGAGAAATTCATGCCCCCTCAAATTTACCAAAATTTAAGATTAACGAATATATCCATCGATATTTCTATATATGATCCATTATATATAGAAAATATAATGATTGGTTTAAATATCAAATTTAATCTATTAACCATGGATGATGATAAACTCGCTGGCAACCTTTCTTATCATCCTGTTAAAAATACAGAACAGCCTACATTTGTTTCAATTAAACCTCAAGGTTTATATGACAATAATGATAATCCGCTAAATTTAAAAGAATTGTTAAAAGCTATCGATTTATATGACACCTTTGAAAAGCTTAATGAAGTTATACCAATGTTATGGTATCAGTTGAAGAATTTAGAGTCTGTAGAATTTCAATATCTTGACTTACAAATTAAATTGAATGAGCAGACTGCTATTTATGAAATTGGTGATTTTAGTCTAGGTATTTTAATTCCAAAGTTTATAATTAAAAGAGATGTTATTGAAGCTACAAACGCAATCATAAATTTAGAATATAATGGTATGCAATGGTCAGGAAATATCCAGGGAATGGTCGAGATAACTGGAAAAGATAGAAAGTATAATTGTCAGATCAAATATATGTTATCAACAAAAGAGCAGCTTGGAAATCTATTAATTAAAAACTTTAATGAGGATCTTAATTTAAAAGAGACACTTCAAATTTTTCGACTTGAAAGCATTTTCGAAATTCCTGTTTATGGAAAACTTTTTGAACCTATGAAGATTTCAGAGATTAATATTAATCAAGTTAATTCGGACCTTTCAGATTTTATTATTCAAGATTTGTCGTTTATTCTTCAAGCGAATAAACTTGAGCTAAAACCTTTAATTATCGAACAAGTGGAAGTGTGTATTTCTTATTTTCCTCCAGAAAATAATACGGATTCAGCAACATGGAAATTCAGAATTGAAGGAAATATCGATACAATGATTGCAACATTAAATTATAATAATGAAAAACGCAACATTCAAGCCACTTTAGTTCCTGTTAAAAGTAAAAAATTTAAAGATATTACAAAATTGCTTATAGAAACGCCTGAATTTTCTGATAATTCAATGTATTATGAAGTATACGATTCAGAAATAACAAACGTTGAATTGGATATTAATATTGGCGTGAATAGTGTTTATATTGAAAGTTTTTCAACCAAATTAGTAAAGGTATTACCATATGACGAATTCATTCTTGACAATTTATCATTTAAATATGAGGAAGTGAAAAAGATGTATATAGGTAATCATAGTCCCAATCAAGTAACTCCACCTCATAGAAAACACATATTAGAAGCCATAATTTCTCGCAAGAAAGCTACTAATGATATTAGTGCCAAAATAGAAATTGATTGTTCTGAAAATGTCGTAGAAGCTTCTATTACTTCATTTTCAAATCCTTCAATATTAGACATATTAAAATTTTTAATAGGATATCAATCAAATTTACCCGATTTATTACCAAAGTTACCGGAATTGCCAAATTTTACTGATATTAAGTTGGATCAAAAATATTCTGCAAAAATTTTAATCAAGCCGTTCAAAATAATTGGGTTCAATATTTCTGTAGAGGATAAAGAAATTAATTATAAACTCTTGAAAAAACCTTCAATAACTTTACAACCTGTTGGAATATCAATCAATTACGCATATGATATTGACGGAAAAAAAGAAAAGCTTGAAGGAAAAGTATACGGGACATTCATTTTGGATGATATGATAGAGCTCAAATTAGAATTTGCAAGCTCAAAAACTAAAGATGAAGATATAGTCGTTGCAAGTATAGAATCTAATGTATGCAAAGAAGGTGCTATTTATATTTCAAGTATTGTTAATACATTGCTAGATGATAATAAAGGATGGTCGAGTAAAACTCCAATAGAAATGAGATCGCCAAAATTCATTGTTAAATCTCAAAATACTTTGCAACTAGATACATTATCCGAATTAATCTTGTCAACGAAGGAAAAAGCTTACCTTTATATTAACCTTTCCAACAAATCTGTTGCACTATATGCATCAATCGAATCAATTGGTAATGCTTTGCTTTTAGTCAAAAAGTTAAATACAAAGACTTCGATTGACAATGAATTTGGATACATATTTGCCTTAAAAACATCTAATGATTTTAAAACTGAATATTTATTTAAATCATCAAACATTGTGTCTAATATAGACGAGATACTGCATTTAGCACAAGCAAATCTTGTGATTGTGTCATATCAAGACGTAACATTTGAGAAGGCTAAACAAGAATTAAATGCTATAATCAAAGATCTCAATGATATTTTAAATTCGGATAATAAAAATTCTAAAATTAAATTTGAGGATATTATTTCAATTAATTTGCCAAATAGAGATGATATTTATAGACAGACATTAATACAAGGTGCAAATTTATATGCAACATTAGATTATGGCAAGGATCAATCAGTTTTATTAAAAAATCTTTGTGCAACTACAAATTTAGTTTCCATTTCGCAAAAAATATTGGTTGAATTATCTTTAGGCACTAAATTACTATCTAAAAGTGAATTTAAAGCAGGAATCGAAAATTTAATACTTTATGGTGGATTGAATTTCGAAGCAATTTCATTTTCCTATAAGCCAAAAAGTAGTGAATCGGAATTAATTATTTCTGGAGATTTGAATTTTAAGACACTTCTTGGTACAGAATTTAATATTAAGGGAATGTTGGTTATCAATGAAGGAAGCTCATCATTTAAGGCGGATTCAGAGTTATTAAAATTACAATCTATTGAAAACCCATTTGGAATGAGCGGAATATGTATTAAAGGAATAGAATTTGACATGAATTTTGATTATAAAAACGATTTTGTCATAATAGAACCTACTAATATGTCATTTAATATGGCATTTAATAGAAAGTTACAAAATAGTACGCATTTAAAAGGCAAAGTCGGTTTTTATTCAGGAAATCAAAACATAGAAACTATTTTTGAGGGACAAATTCTATTTGTAAACGGGACACCAAATGTTTGCAGTATAATCATTGACAAAGAAATCAAAATTACACATTTACTTGCTAAAATACTTTCTGTAAAATGGCCTACCGACTTTCCTGATATTATTTTTAATGATGGAGAGATTTATTATATGCCCGCATACCTTCCTAAAGATGAAATAATAATCGACAAAAAAGTTTATAATAAAGGATATAATATTAGAGGACATATAGATTTCTTTGGAATAGTCAATCTTTCAATCACTGCTCAAATAAATAAAGGAATAAAAATTAAAACGACAGAAAGTAATAATTCAGAAATAGATTTGAGATTTATTAAAATCACTAAATATAATTTAACAATAGAATTAAGCAAAAGTAATCACAGCATTGGTATTGACGGTTGTCTCAAATTATTTGATATGAACCCTGCAGAATTTCATTTAAATTATAAAAATGAAACACGATGTCTTGAGGGAGAAATTAAAATAAAAGGATCTTTGCTTGGAATAGTTAATCCAACAATTATGGGATGCTGGTCAAAAGGAAATAAATTTAGTATCATTAAATGGCCGAGCTTTTGTGAATTAATTTGGAAGACGGCAGAATTTGCAAGTCTTATTGAAGAAGCTTCAGTTGGTTTATGTAAAGAAGCTATTTCCGATCTTAAATTGAATGAAAATTTTGAGGGACATTTCGAAATTGATTTAAAACAAATTGATACTCAAAGTGACAATTTGGTTTCTTTTCTAATTACGGGAAAATATTTAATTAGAATAATAGAAGGAAGAGAAAAATTAACAGAAATTGTAGAAATTGATATTCCGTCATCAATTCAGTTAGATATTAAATATCCAATATGTAATGGCGACATACCAAACTGTCTTTTAACGTGTTTTAAAGATCAAATACCAAAAAGCGCAGCAAAATTTTTACAAAATCTATTAAAGGATCCCAAAAAGTTTGCAAAGTTCTTAGATGCTCTAGCAATTTCTACTTTGGTTAACTTGAGCGAAGATACTTTAAAGGTATTCATATGTTTTGCTGGAGTTGAAATAAATAAATTAGCAAAAGATACATTAGATGCAATGAAGAAATGTGCCAAAAATATTTTAGAAAATACGCAACCTAAAAATAAGCCTAAAGAAAATGACATTTTAGCAATTGAAGAGGCACAATTGTTAACTAGTGCGATAGATTTGGCTAGTTCACTGCTTTTAATAACTGGAGAGTGGTTTGGATATTTTAGTTCTGCTATCAATTTATTAAAAAGTCTCTATGGTGATCAATCCAATGAAGTAAAAGAAATTGAAAAGAAAAAAAGCGAAATGGAAAAAATCGAGAAGAGGATAAAAAATGCAGTAGAAAGATTTTTAAATATGGATTATTTAACTCCAAGGTTGAAATTTGATACAGATAACGCTTTAAGAATCAATTGGAATATTCCTCTAAATGCAGAAAATGATAAATTAGCTAGGGAAATTGATTATAAACTGCATATTAATATTTTTGATATCAATTTTTTTTGGAAGAGAAATCATAGAAAATAATATCATTATTATTGGTAAAGAACAAATAGAAAGAGATAAATCGAAATTATCATTTGTGTTGAAAGATGATTTACTAATGAGATGTAAAAAAGTTTCGGTCAAAATAGCGGCAGTGCTTCAATATAGTGATCAAACCTACTTAGGATCGCAATCAAAAGAAGGAATAGCCGAGCATAAACCTAAATCAATCCTCTAATAAATTAATAATGCACGCGGTAAAATTTCTCACCATTAAAATAATTTCAAAAGATGAGGATATTCAACAATATTATCACGAATTAATCAATAATGACAATAATAATGACAATAAAAATAACAATAAAAATATAGTTTATCATAAACCTATTAACGTAAACACTTTAGAGAGTAACCATGCATGCATATTTCCCAGAGCGATTCGGGATATTTTTGTTCAAGATTCTTTTTAGTCTAAATGACCAGATATTTTCGGATCTCTTATAATTAACGTTAATAAATTTACATGTTTTTTGTATTTGAATATTTTTTATTTAAAATAAGTTGTCTTAATAAAATTTCTATTTAATTGATTTTTTGTCAAAAATTCTAAACTAATGTCCAAAGTTGTTCGTGAGGACATTGTTTCCATGCGCTTTGAGGCCAAATTTATAATTTTAACGCATTTATAACAAACATATTTTCGTATTTTCTGTCTATAGCACTATTGTTTGTGACGTGTATTTGCCATGATTATCAAATTTCAGAGAAATGATCTTGGAACTTATACCAGTTTCCAGTTGTTTGGAATGTGTAGCAACGTCAATTATAGTCTATTTTTAGAATTGGATGTCTTGATTTCCTCCAACATATAGACCATAAAATATTAATTATATTTGGATAGGTAAACATATTATCGTTTTGTTTAACGTATGTATATGAATCATTCAAATCAATCATTCGAATCTTTATAAAATCCACAGGATAAGGCCATGCAAAAAAAATTTTTCGTTTAACATTACCCGCCGACCCAAATTTAGCAAAAA